CTCACGGCAACAAAACCCCTAACTAGCCGGGGGTTGGGAGGGGGGTGGGGGGATGGGGGTTGCAGAATAACAGGATAACAAAGCCATCCATTAATCCAGAGACACTGAAGAACTGCCTTACATGCTCCATTGCTGTAAGATCTGTCTAAGAGTCACGAAGTACTGGTCAGACAATCGCCCCAGTCTTACAATATCTTTTCCTCAACAACTCTAATTCTACTTCTTGATCACAAGGGACGCTTGCTCTTTGTTGTCCATCTCACCGTCACCACCCAGAGTCCATCTACCCCAATGCAGCATAACATGGTATGTCTACCTTAGCAAATTTAAGAAAATGCAAGTCACAGAAAGAGACAAAATGACCTCCATGAGTGGCAGTGCGCGCCTTTAGTGCCAGAAGTCAGGAGGCAGAGGCAGGTGGATCTCTGACCAGGCCAACCTGCTCTACAGAGTGAGTTACAGGGCAGCCAGAGCTACACAGAGAAACCCTGTCTTTAAAAAAAAAAAAAAAAAAATCAGAATGTGGATATCAATATTCTTAAGCCATAATGGCATTTCCACAGGTTACCCATAGGAAAATCCCTAGATAGATAGATAGATCTCTTTCATTCATTATCTAGTCACTCTGTTTATTTTTATTTTATGTTATGTGTGTGTCGGCTTTGTTTGCCTGCTTGTTTGCATGCATGGGCTTATCTGAGAACCATGTCTGTGCCGGGTGCCCAAGGAAGCTGGAAGAAAGCATCTGACTTCCGGAACTAGAATTACAGGTTGTGAACCACCATGTGGGTGCTCAGAATTGAACCTGGGTCCTCTGGAAGAGCAACAAGTGCTCTTAACCAGTGACTCATTTCTCCATCCCCCTATTTAGACACTGTAAAAAAAATAAAATAAAATAAAACCTTTTTTAAAATCAACATTCTTAAAATGACAAACTACCCTAAAATGTGTATAGTCTATGAATAGGAACTGGTTTTGAACTTGAAATGTGCTCCTCCTTATCTCATTATTTAAATGATTTTTAAATTTTCATCAAGCAACACAAAACCAAATTAGTATTTTACATATTTTCAAGTAAGAAAATCATTTTAATTTTTAAAATAAACATGAAGAGCACAACTAATACAAAATTTAATGCTTTAAGAAGACTTGAAGAGCTATTTTGAAAAAATATTGCATTTTGAATGTAAATAATGCAGTTATCTCATTATCATGTATATTCATAGTAACTTCAGTGAGGGGAAGATATTAATATTATACCCATGTATCTGTTTTAAACTTCTATTCAATTTCTATTTTTATTTCTGCATTTGATTTTTATCTGTGTTTAACATTATGTCCTTTATAATTTGATTATTGAATGACTTTTCATTGCTAATTTCTAGTATCACAAAATAAGGCAAGGAAAAGTAAGGTGCTTACAGCTTTTCATTTACTTTTAAAGGTATCATTTTATCATCCTCTTTCTAAGAATTTCATGAAAAGATTCTAAATGTCAAAAACGGCAGCTAATGTTCCTATTTAGGAATACACAAAATAATACCTTTGACATTGGCAACTCAGATGCATTATTCAGCAAAACAGCAATTACTCATTGTTTTGCACTTACACATTAAGAACTGCGTGACACTTTGAGACACAATAACAAAATTGCAAAGTCAATTATATTTAAAATAGACATCTTAATAAAATATACACAATCGACTTCTTTCACTCTTTCTGAATTGTTTCGTTACCCTTTTCTAACTGTTTACAATCAAATAGAACATGTGAGCATTAACCTTGAAGATAACTGATTGATATGTGTGTGCAAAAACAAATTAAAAACTATAAAGGGGAAACGTATTTGGAGGGCACTAGACCCCACCAGTCTGCTCCTCCTGTGTATTTTGGGAAATGTACTTCCATGGTGTTCATTTACAGTGTCAATCATAGTGGCAAACTTTGAAAGAGTAGGATGCTAAAACTCAAAGCAAAATTTAAATAGACTCACACTAACAATTCTAAGCAGAACTATAGCAATAAAGTCCAAGTGAAGTCCTTTTATGCATAATTAGAGTTTCAGGTAAAAATGAGAATTGGTTTTGAATCTATTTTAATTGCACAAGAAGCATTTTTGTAACTTCAGTAGCCAAGTAATGAACTCCACTCCTCAACTAGGCCTGCATCCTAAAGCTTCACTTCAGAAATTAAAATGTTTGTCTAGATAAAATAACTTCGTAGTGAACTCTTTTATTTCTTCTCATTTCTTTCTGTATTTTCTGCAATGTAACCCCTTGCAATGATATTAGTTCTAGTGTGGGAAAATATTATAATTGAGATCTGGTAAGTTATTTGCAGACTTCAAGTTTTTCTTTACACTGTGCTGACATTTAGTACAGCCCTGGTGAGGAAAACAATACAACCATTCATGGCTCTAGACGTAGATTTCAATCGACTTAGACGGGCACAATGAAACTTGGTCATTCACTGGTTACCCATATTGTGTTCTCAAATTTTCTCTCAGCAAAAGTATAATGACTCAGTATTGTATGGTTGCGTAGACAGGGGCTCGGAACAAGAGACACTAGTTTTGTCTGACGGTGTGAGAAAGTCGTGAAGGGATCTTTTCTTCCAGATGGTGTTAAATTCAGCTGCCTTTTTAACATTGGCCTTGCCCAGCAATCTGCTGCTCCCGGTTCACAAAGACTGCCTTGGTTCCCACTAGTTAACATGCATACTCACGCAACCTGCAACCTCACTCCAACTGTTTTACAATGCAGTGGTATGCTAAATAAACTTGATCCGGGTTCTGCCAATGTTAAAACTAGCTTTCAAAGAACTACTTAACTGATATTTACACTTCTTTTGACTTAAATGTGCATGCCTTCGGAATATTTCAGATTTCAAAGAAATATCACCTTATGATAAGGTCATTGTAGAGATTATCTTGGACACCCTTCAGACTCATGCTCAGATATGGTACCTCCTTCAACACACACAAATAAAACAAAATGTCAGAAGTTTGATGTGCAATAGAAAAAAAGAAAATTTGGAGCATGTTGCAGCAAGAGCAGTGGGACAGCAAAAAATAAAATGAAAATAACATTGAAATGTATTTTTATTGATCGATAAGTTATGTAACATTAGTATGATACAAAGCAAGTTTGATATGACAATGGCAAACACATAATTTTAATATTGTTTATTTTCCTTAGATGTTATAGTTAACAGATTTACATAAACGACCAAGATGTAGGCAAAAACTTCAGTAAATTGACTCCATTGAGTGCTTTGAGTAAACAATAGGTTTCCCCAGCAAACATCTTACTGCCTTTAATTGAACCTCCTTGAGAAAGAAAACCACACACTTTGTAATGTAAATGTTAATTGTAGTAGACAATGGTTCTAGGTAAATAGCACCCCTGGACATGGGGCAAATGAAAGGAACACAGGCACTTTACAATGAAAGCTTGTTTGCACAAACAGTGCTTCCAAGGTAAACAAACATGGGTCTTCTCAACAGTCTCTGCAGTGGTAAAACTGGGGCACGTGTGCAGCAGTCAAATTGAGAATTCGAGTTATTAAAGTCTCTCAGCTTTTCTAAGTGAAGCCTTACAGGCTTTTCTAGTCTCAGTCTTATAAGAAGTTGAAGCGGTAAAGAAAAATTATGTATTTGGGAGAGTCAGTAATTTAGGCCATGTGAAGATAACAGGCAATTTTGGACATTTTTTATTGCAATGGTTGTATTTATGTACAAATGCCTATACCAATGTTTGCCTGATAACGTGCAACAAAATATAAGGAATTTCGGGAAAGGATTACAATGGGAATCTCCAAAACCTCCAAGTTTATGCTAGGACTGGTTACTTTCAGATAGAAAAGAAAGAAGAAGAAGGAGGAGGAGAAGGAGAAGAAGAAGGAGAAGAAGGAGGAGAAGAAGGAGAAAAGGAGGAGAAAAACTGTGTAGAACACATCCTGCTAGGACTATTCTAAAACAAGTTTTTAAACACATTGTGATTGTAACCAACTTTGTATAAACTGGTGAGTTTGTTGCTTTATTTCCAGAATGTAGATTTGCATAAGTAGGCCAAGTTCCCGAGTGTCACAGAAAGAGGTAAACAACCGATGAAGTCAGTCCTAATGAGTGTTATGAGACATGACTTTAAAATATAACAGCCACAACAAAAGCCAAAGGTGATCACAAGGCCCTAAACCACAGGCTGAGGATGTCCCTGAGGGATGTTCTTGGCATCCCTTTTCACTTGCTTTCCCTAAATAATGAAAATTTCACCAAAAGAGAAAGCCAAATTTAATCATGGCCAGATTAAACAGTGGTTTAAAAATTAACAGAAACAGTACGTAGCAGCTACCAACCAGTTGGTGTTGCCGTTTGGGAGGCTGCAGATGGCTGTGGGTGGGAAATGCCTTTACTTTCTTAAGCGGTGGAGATGAGTATGGTGTGTGTGCTTGATGTTTTTTTTCATACCCCTGCCCCCCAACAGGGCTGTCTGTCATAGGCTGCCGGCCAGGCTTTACCACTTGCCCCCGAGCGTGGGAATCGGAGCGTCCTGCCGTTCACATCTCCTGCTTTCCGTTTAGCGGAATCAATTAGGCAAGACAGACCCTCAGATTCCCCACCCCCTTTCCATTTTTGTCAGGTCTATATACGTCCTAATTATTTCAGTTTGGGATGCCAGAGCTGTTTCCTGGATAGACCTGATCATCCTTAAACAAAAAGAGAGGAGGCGCACACGTGGGTTGTGGCGTTAAGTGTCACTTTCCTATCCAATGCTAGGCGCAGAGTAAGACAGAACATTTTTTTAACACTTTGACAAGAGGGGAGGCGATCTCGTCTCCATCATGTCTTTCTGCTTCAGTAGCTTCCTCAAGGAAACCCTCTTGGAACAGAGAAGCATCTGTCCTTGTATTTTGAATAGAAGAATAAAAAATCAGACGCCCCCTCCTCCATTTTTCCCTGCTAGCTCTAAGTCCTCGGGAGATATAAATTATTAACCTTCCAGTATAAGCTTTACTGAAAGTCTGACCTCATAGAATTTAATGTACATAGAAAGTTTCCAAGCACAAGCTTCAAACTTGAGGGAGGGGCCTCAGAAGGGAACTGCCCAAATCTACATAATTATGGAATCATTTTTAAACGAGGTCTCAGGCACCGCTGTAACAGCTTTCTAAGAAAAACATTTCTCATATGTAAACGTTTGCTTCAAAATAGAACAAGATAGAACAGTACATGCATCTTCGCCCATAAAAACACCACACAATTCTCCTTCTCAAAACCTGGCCCTTTAGATTTCAGCCTGTGGGTCACTGAATTGCCTGCATCCCACTTGTAATCATAAGAAAAGAAAAGTTAGATTCAATAAGCATTCCTGACCTTTCTCGTTTTTACTGTCTCTTGGTTGGAGTCTTTCATTCTGGACCGCTCCTCGGTGATCTTGAAGGAGTTTTTACTTTCGGTTATCTAGCTTTATGAAGACCAATACACTCATACAGCTAGATAACCAAAGATAACAACTCGCTTCCCTCACAGGGCTGTCTTCCTCTGGCTGGACTCCAGATCCGATCCACTCTGGATTTACAGAAGGGTAGTCCTCCAGGATATTCGCCGCGGTTAAGATTCCTCCTTTCATGCAAACATGACCTGGTTTCTGTCTGAGTGTGTGCGGCTGAAACATCCAAATAAGAGCTGTTGCATTCAGAGTTTATTCCAAACTTTTTTCCCTTCCAGCAAGTAATCTCCAGCCGCGTTAGCCAACAATTCATCTATTAATATCAGAAAATAAGAACCAGCGACTAAGATGCAGCAAGCTGTTCCCGTGAGCAGCAGCGTCCATCCCTTCACAGGCCTCTATTTGCATTGTAAATTGCTTCATTCTCACGTAAGGTTCTTTAGCCTTCCTCTACTGAGATGTATAAAGCCATGGGCAGTTTCCAGCGCCGGTTAAAAAGGAAGAGGGGGGAAATCCCATTCTATAGAAGTGGCAGCTGATTCAAAGATCTGCTCCGGATCATTGGGTTAGGCATCATGAGCTTTTTACCAAGTGCTGGCAGCTTGATTGCACATATCTTGTATGTGAATGTTTTAGGGGGAGATCCTCGATTTCTCAGGACTTCTAGGCTGGGGAGAAGATGCTGTCTTGCTGGCGTACTGCTGCCCCCGGTCTGAAAGAAGGAGAAAAGGGCCATCATTGGAGGGGCTTTCACTGCCAAATTGTGGACCAGCCCGGCAAGGTCAAAGGTTTGAGACCGCGGGAGACCAAGGTAATGATGATGTCATGAGAAATCTCAAGTACATGGTTATTGATATGCATCAGTGATCAGCCAACTGCCCCAAGCCTGCTGCCGGGAGTAGCGGAGGCTGCGGCGGCAGCTGCAGCAGAGGTGGCGGCGGCGACGCAGCAGCAGCAGCAGCAGCTTTGCAGCGAGCCCTATTTTCCCAATCAACATTTCATCCACTAGCACTACGGACTGTTCCTGGAAAAGCAACCCGCGGCCTTTTACCTCCTCGACGCTAGTGTAGATCGCTCTAATATCCAAAGACTGGAGGAAATCTCTCTCTAAGGACAGATAAAAGCATTTCAGGTCTGGGGAACGTCTTTGCCTGCATTTCTCTTCTGGCAGATTGCATACATAGGCCGGCAGATGGAAGGCACTTTACTAGTGCTTAAAGCAGGGCCTCGCTTTCTGGGGCTGGGAAACAGATCTGTATTACGCAGTGAGTCGATGTGTGATTACATTGACAATTTGCTTTGGTGTTGTGTTTTTAACGGCTTCACAACTCAGTCATGTTTTGTATCTGCGTACCATGGCGATAGGGCAACATATTTTGTTCTGTAAGTTCAAACTGAACGATCTAAGCAGACGAGCTTCATCTTTTTTTTTTTTTTAATGATTGCATATGAAGGGTGTGTGCGTTAGAGTGCAGCCCAGGTAAACACTGCAGGAATACCGTCTAATGTTGCACACAGCTCTGCTGTAGTAAAATGCTGAGCCTTTGTCTACTGTGGTAAACACCAGTTTTCTTCCCGGAAAAATGCATTAGACTTCATTAGACTTGCTTATAAAATTACGACAAAATTATTGTCTCCTGAAAATGCAGATAAAACACCTGGATGTGAAGAGCGTGGTGCCTCCTCATCTTCTCTTGCCCCACCCACTCATATCTGTCTTCTATCTAGAAGCAGAATTTAATAAATTAATTAGCTTCCTTCATTGTCTTAGAAGTTTTTAAAGTGTGACTTTAAAATCACTTCCAAGAGTCCCTTTCCTTTCCCATCCTTTATAATAGATGATCTGTCTAGCACATCTATGATATCTAACATTCAGCTGCCTCTCAACAAAACATCCATGGTAATCTCCATAAGAGGCGTAGTCTCTGTGGGTAAGCATTATGAAGTATGTTCAAAATTACTAATTATTTTTGGTGATGTTGCTGTTCTTTAAGTTACATGCTAACAGAGAATCTGTAATTCTTAACATCCGTTGCACACGTCACCAGGGGGCCACTATACTCTCAATTCCACACTGCGTCTATTTTCCCCAATGGCTAAACACTTTTACATTTTTTTTGTAACATAGTTTTCTCAGTAATTCACTAATTTATTCACTTAAGACGTGAATGAGAACATGCTTATTCAACCACATACAGAGAGCACACATATATAAACCCTGTGAAAGAGACTGACAGGTTTTTTTTTTTTAATGGTAGGAAAAATCTCCAATGAAGAGTTTAAACATAATATCACACCAATTAAGATATGGCTTAGTAACAGAGATGCCAATTTGTCCTTAGATTAATTTGTTTACTTTTGTGTTAAGCATTCTTTTACTGGTTGTTTAGAAAAGACTAAGATGTCGAAAGAACTCATCTATATTTCTTATCAAATCATGAGCAAGAAGTCAGATATAGAATGCACATGTAAACTACAGTCCAATTTTTAAAACACATTCATGGGATTTTTGTTCCTTCTTAAACCGTGTGGTCACAACATAAACAACTCACTGAGGCACAAGCCACTTCTGACATGGTGTCAAATCCTAATGAGCTTTGAAGCTTAGAAGATTAAAGAGCACTGTGGCCATGCTATCCAAGAACGAGCAGCAGAGTAATTAGTGATCTGGCAGGTATTACATAAAGCAAGCAAATGATCAAGTCTACTCAACTCTGTGAGTCAAAGCCCAAGAAATCAAGAATGGTTTTAGAATATCCCTTTGCTTCACGTGTGTCTAGGTGTGAGAGGGCAGGCTATATATTTATCTGTTGGTGGGTGTGTATTATCCTCATATTTTTGAGTTTGAAAATTATTATGACTGTATCCCCATACTTAACACTAAAATGCATTTTTAGAAACAGCATCTACAATGAGAGTTAACACACTGAATGTCTGAGTGTTTCTGCCATTAGAAACTACAAAAGATACTGTCTTCAATAGCACCTTCTCAGGGAATGCCATGTAGTCATGCCAACTTACTCTAAGACTGGTCTCCATGCTTGGTATTCAAAACAGATTCATCATGGGAACCCCAATAAGTGAAATGAGCCAAGATGAGGGTTTTGGGCAGTCTGTTCATTAGCCATGAAGCCAATTAAATATTTTACTTCTCTATCAACCTCTCAGGCTCACAGAAGAAAATTAAATACACTAAGATTTAACATTGAGTGCCTGATTGTGTATAATATTGCCAAAATTTACAACATGGTTTGTCATATGTGTTATTATATACACTCCACAATATGTTACAATTACACAGCTCCAAGGAGTCCCACCAGTCACATGTGAAGAGCAGCTCTCTCAACAACCACACTTTGAAGTCAGATATTTTTGCTTTAAAAAAGCTATCTAGCTGAGCTACATAATATTTGCTTGAAAATCAGCATCCTGAAGGATATACAGAATTCAAACAGCTTGCCTGCTCATTCTCTAATGAATGTACATCAGTAGCCAATAGATTAGGATGTGATGGTCATGCTTATTTTCTGATTGTTTTATAGGTCTCCAGATTTCTGAAACATGACTTTGAAACATCCTGGTTTACTTGGGAATAAACAATCTCTGCTGGTTAAAAGTAAAAAGTTATGATTTCCCCCATATTTGGGTCAGAATTATGCTATTTACTTAATTCAGATACATTTGGTTTATGACCAATATTTAGAACACCTCTAAATCCTATTTACATTAATGCAGAATACATAAAGGACTGGCCTAACATCGATTCTTTTTAAATATTTGGTTTGTAAGAATTACAGGTGTGCAAACTGTAGTCTATTAATACAGTCAACACTACTATTGTCTTTATAAAAAGCTATTTTATTTACAGTCATGTCCATGGTTCAAGTAATGTACCTAACTGGCTTACATTATGATAAACATATCTTTCTCTTCTGAATATGAGCTTCTTTCTTATAGGCTGTTGCAGGCTATATTTATATTGTGCTTTATGCATATACATGTATGTATATATTAATACATATTCACAAAGGCTCCTCAGGAGAAACAACTGAACACGCTGAAACTTCAATGTTTCTGAAATTCTATCTGTTGCAAGGGGAAATATGTGATACACTGCAGACCTGTCCGCCAGTAAACAATGCACTGTTTTGGTTTTGTACATCAGTCATATTTTATCAAGTAAAAAAATCTTAAATTACCTTTGTTTGATTGAATAGTCTGCTCATTTTATGCTTCTTTGAAGTCTCGTCTGAAAAATAGGCAATAAAACAAATGATCACAGTTTATATATATATCATCACCATAATATATAGATTTAATTTAAAGTATAACAATTACTGGGATTCCTTAAAATACCATAAGATTATATAAAACACCAGTACTGTGTATCTTGGGCCTTAGCACCCACAGGGTTAAATATGCTAATTTGCATTTAAATGGAGACATGCATGATAATGGGAATGCAAAATATGCAGGATCTAGAGGGGTTTGGGAAATTAATTTTTCTTTCTCCTTTTATTTTTAGCTTGGAAAGAAGAGAGACTTAAGAAACATTAGGGATTTGAACCTTGTAACCTGCCATACAAAAGAGAAGAGAGAGCCCCACCATGCAAGGATTTTAAGTCTGGAACAAAGTCTTATTTTCTAAATGTTTAAGGGACTGAATTTCCTGGCCTCTCAGACAATGGGAATCCCTGGATAAATGTCTAATCCATTCGAAAGATGCAAATAGTTTACTGTAAGGCCACACGGCACAGTGAGATGTGCATTCACATCTATGGCTCCTGATTGGCTCTTTCCTTTAGTAAATCAATGAATAATGTAAAACCTGATTGCTGTAAAGTGGTGGATTTTCATACCCTTCCCCCACCCCACCCCTACAATCCAATATTAGGAAGTCTTACATACTCCCGAAAATAGGTTGGGTTTTTTTTTTCTTAATGATTTTTTGATTCTTACTATTATTTTGGACTGGAGGGGTGGAGCCGTGTTGTTTTTGCAAAATGAAAGTACTACACCCGTCCAATGATGACGACTACAGTAGCTCGTTCCTGCCTTTGCCCTAGTTACTGGTGCCAAGGCGGAGATAGAGGTGGAAGGCAAGTGTGGGCACCAAGAGAGGGAGAAAACGGTCCTTGTGGGCCCAAGGCAGCCACAGCTCTGAACCCCCACCCCCACCCCACGGCCGTGGCCGTGACTTGACAGGGCCTGGGGTCTAACTTCTGATCAATTCCACTGAATTGCCCTGACCCCTTCAGACAGTACTCCATTCAAGCACCCTCGCCACATTTGCAAGAGAAAAAAAAAAAAAAAGCCGCAGATCCTAATGCAAAAATACATGGCTCTCCTTGCCCGGGATTTTCTGCGGATAGTCCCTCACCACCGAAAGAAGGTCTTGCCTTCAGTTGATTTGGGGCTCTCAGCAAAGGAAGAACAGGCTTCGCTCCGATTCCAAAGGCGTCTGAAGCTGAATAGCTCCAAGTACCAGTAACTAACCATGAAGGTTGCATTTCGGTTAAAGCTAAACTCCGGACAGCCCTGTAATGTGGTCTCTCCCCTCCAAAATCCAGAAAGCAGAAAAAGGAGGAAATTTACCAGATACTACTACTGTACAAGTTTTTCCCCAGGATCTAATCAGACAGTGGCTTCGGTGCCAGGTAACCGAAACTTTGGGGCGATTCAAAATAGGCAAATTATTCTAAACGAGAACCCAGAATTCAAGGACGCAAAGCACTATTGTATTTAGCACTGCGTCTAAGAGAAGAAAGTCCCGCCACCAACACCAAAAATTTACATACAAAATTTCTTTTCCCTGTGCGAATTTTTCCTGGCATCTCTCTGCGTTTAAGGTCAGCCCGGAGGATAATTAACAGTCCTGGCTCGGACAACTCACAAGATCAACAGGTTTGGCATTGGAGACATACAATCAATTAGCTGAAGCAAAGCCCCGGACTGGCCCTCGGAGCGGCCCTTGCCCGGCTGGGCTCTTGGTGTGGGTACCCGACAACTACCGGCACTGCCGGCCTGGCGCCGCCGGCGGAGCTTGCAGCCTTCACGCAGCCAAGATACTCACTGGATGTCCCTGCGCCAGGCAGTGTCGTTCCCCCAAATCCAGCCGGACCGAAACCGAGCCTCCAGGCAGAAGACAAGATCCAGTCACAGCAGAACGTGGCCACAGCACACAAACAGGTTCCTTTAGGCGTCTCCAAAAAAGAAGAGAAAAAAAAATTTTTTTTTTTTCAGATCAGTCTTCTCTTAGTACATTTAAAACTGCCGCTCAATTCCACTTGGTGGGCGATTCTTCCTTGATTGCGTCTAAAATAGTTTACGCCGCTCTTCTCTTCTGAGGGAGAGAGAAGGGCGCAAAAGACCAAGGAGGGGGAAGAAGGCAACTTTCCCCCCCACTCCAAGCACTTGCTCCCTGAGCCTCTGAGTGCAGAGTGAAGTGGTGTGTGCGAGGCTCGGCAAGTTTTTGGGGGGGCTGTCCAAGGTCTAGTCCAGCCCCCTCTGCCGAGGAGGACGTGCTCTGAAACCCAACCAATTTCCCCACTGCTTTTGTTACTGATGAACTGAAGCCCTATTGTTCATCCATTGCCACGGTCTTTTGCAGTCCCCACACTACGTTCTGCGTTGCCAGAGATAATGAATTTGCACCCAAACCTCTCATAGTCCCCTCCTGACAGACGGAACAAATTAGAAATGTCTCGTCTGAAGGAGGGCAATGGCTACATTTTCCTATTGTAGGATGCAAAGCACACATTTCTTTGGAAACTTATTTTGCCTTTTCTACCTTTTATTTTCTTCCTTTTTTCTCATTACCCCAGCTTTTCTCCTCTTAGTTTCTTAGACACATTTTTAAAAGAATCCCTCTGTCTTGTGTTCCCAGAGCACCATTTTATTAACTTGTGGGCCTTTCTGCCTCCCTACCTCCTTTTTTCCCCTTTCTTTCGGGGTTCCCTTTGCAATTTTATTTACAAACTTGTAGAATGACCTTTTGACTTGCAGAGTTTTTTTTGTTTTTGTTTTTGTTTTTTTTGATAGGTCTTTTGGTTCAAGCCGCCCTCCCCCTATTCTGTTGGTTAGTGTTTCGCTAAAGACAAGGTATACATTAAGGATTTGTCTTCTCTAAACTCCAGTTTTATTCAAAAGGCACCAGGCATCATGCATGATAAAGGCTGTGAAGGAAGAAAAAGCTTGTGTGTGTGTGTGTGTGTGTGTGTGTGTGTGTGTGTGCCAGAGAGGCTTAGGTGCAGGAGGAGGGGCTGGAAGTGTGTAGAAGGAAAGGTGGGGGCTTTCAGGGAAGGTGGGGATCCTGCAACACCAGCAGGAGGCTGTCAGGGGTGCGGGCGCGTGGGAGGAGGGGGAGGCGGTGCAGGAATCTGTCCCGGTGAGGGCTGTCTGCTCCCTTGGGCCTATTTGCCCGCCCGGAGCTGGAGGCAGCTTTGGCACGGATACCTAGGAGCCCGGGGCCATAGTGGGAGCCTGCGCGACCCAGGGCGAGGAGGGGGTGGTGCTCTGCAAAAATTCGACGGCCGCCCGTCTGTCAGTGTGGCCGGGGGAGCAGAAGGGAGGCTCTCCTGAGAGCTGCAGGCGCCCTGCCCGGCCGCCGGCCCCCAGCTTTCCCGCCAAGTGCAGCCGGAGGACAGCCAGCCAAGCATGTCCTTGGCGGGAGGGTCCCCGCCCGCCGCGCGCGCACGCGGCCTCCGCGCACACGCACAGGCCCCGCGCACACGCACACGCACACGCACACACTCCCCTCGCAGGCACGCGGCCCAACGGCGGCGGCGAGCAGGTCAGGAAAACAAAGCTGGGCTGCGAGGTGGCATCAGAAACGGCTGCCCGGGGAAGCTGACGCCGCGGCCTCTAGCGCCTCTTCCTAGCCTGCTGGCAGGTTGGTGCCCTTAGCTCCACTGCGGCCCGCGAGCAAACCCTCGCGGCTCGGAGCGGGTGGCGGTCGCAGGCGGGGGCCGGCGTGCTCTGGGAGGTGCCAGCGGCCCCCGCCCGGTGCGCGGGCACCCGCCAGCCCAGCCCGCAGGCCTCCCTGCTCGCCCAGCGCCGCTGCCTCCACGGAGAAGCAGCCGAGCTCTTAGAAGAAAACACCAGGCCTAATCCAAGCCGCAGCCGAGGGGATGATGGCTCCCACCTCAAGTCCCCTTCTGCAGACAATGCGATCGGGAGGGCCCGGCTGTCCAGGGGAAGCCTTTTTTAGGAGTACCTCTCCCGAGGGGGAAACTCGAGCCCCAGCCCCCGCAGCCTGGCCCGGATAACTCCCCAGACAAGTCACCAGACCTGGCCATGCGAAGACTGGTCTCTTGCCCCGAGTCTCCTCCCTCCGTGCTCACCAGCCTAAGCACCTTCCAACACACACACACACACACACACACACACACACACACACACACACACACACACACACACGTCCCTCCCACTACAGTAAAATTCTCGCTCCTGGCACTGCTATTAATGAAGCTGACAGGCATAATTTGTTCACAGGTAAACAGGTACCAAAAAGAGAAGCCCTCACCATTTGGCTGGGCCATTTACCTCTCCCTACTGGGAACATGGGTGGCATATCGTGTTTTAGGAATGCTTTGCTGGTGTCTGTTGTCTCCCTCTCCTCCTCTTGTGGAGAGATTAAAAAAAAAAAAAAAGATGATCCATTGTCAATCTTCTTTCTGACAAGTGACCCAAGCGTTGTTCTAAAACACTTGGGATTCGTTTTGTTTGTTAATCTGTTGCTTTTGGTTTGTTGTTTTAGGGGTGTGTGTGTGTGTGTGTGTGTGTGTGTGTGTTTCTTTTTCCTGGGGAAAGAAAAGAACTTGTATTTGGTGGGGCTGGAGGCACAGAGCTCGGGTCTGTGTATGCAGCGGGAGGGCTGGCGAGGCTGGCAACTGCCGCGGGCAGAAACCAGGCAGCGGCTTGCAGCCCCCCCCCTCCCCCCGGGACTGGCAAGGGCGCCCTTGGCACCTCCGGCTCGGGCTCGGCCACCGATAGAGACTGCCACACAGGCTTTCGGGCTCCACCGGCTGCCGCTCCGTGTTTTCCCCCATCCCGGTTTCACGTTCAAGGTTTAGCTGCGAGGTCACGTCCATTGACGTCAGCTCCCTGTCTCCCTCTACGTCCGGCTACATTTACATACATCAAGGAAATTAGGGCATTAAAAAAATATGCAAATCCTGCGCGAAGAGGAGCGGGTGCATTCCTGGAGCGACCGCCTTTTATTGAAGCTTTTAATTAAAGGGGCCAGTTGGCTAGCCCCTGAAACAACCGCCAAAATCCCCCAAAAGAGAAAAATAAACGCTGTAGCCTTCGGGAACGGTTGTTTCGGCTCCTGTTCTGTGGGCGGCTGAGGACCGCCGGCTGCCCTGCTCCGAGAACAGGTTAGAGGAGGCAGCTCCGGCCCATGCATAATCAGGGCCCCGCGCCTCCATTCTTTCCTCCTCCTCCTCCTCCTCCTCCTCCTCCTCCTCCAGCTACCCTTGGGTCCAGCGTGTATTATTTTTAATACTGATGCATATGTAAAGATATATTTGCATTTTTTAAAAAATTCCTTGAAAATTTCTGGTTCTACATTTTTGTTGACTCCCCGCCCCTCCTTTTTTCTTCCTGTTTTATATGTCTGTCTGCCTCTGTTGTCCTTTCTGTCAGTCTTCTTTCTTTTTTCTTTTTTTTTCTTTTGGCTAGTGTCTGCTGCTATCTCTAGCTGGATTATATACACAGTTGCCTCCCTTCTTTTGTTTACTTAAGATTACGAATATGCATATGTGTTACGTATGCATTGCCAACTGGAGAACGTCCTAGTGTGATCATAAAAGAAACACATTTCGTTCTTCTTTCTTTACCTACCCCTCCATTGACTGTAATGCCTACTGTTTTGAGGCTCAAAGTTTGATTGTCTCTGATTAACTTCCTATTAGTTGAAACACAGGTTGGAGCCAATACATTTGAGAAAAGTACGTGTGAGAGAAGGGATTCCAGATTACTAAAGAATTATGCTGATTAACTGAGGGAATGCGGTCGGTATTCATCACCTATTGCTTTCTAGCATTTCTTGTGAAAAAAAAATCTATTTTAAAATGTGTAGACACAGCAATGGACACCCTTCTGCAAGGAAGACATTTTCAACCATGTTATATGTTGTGTCCTGTCTGCAGCATTCAAAATGTACTGAGTTTTATTTTATCTCAATATGGATGAAAACGTATTATCTTGATTGCAAATCATCCTTAATTCCAGACTTTGAAGTGAAAATACACAAACAAAACAGTTAACTATATTAACCCAGTTGATGTACCTTAAAATATATAGGCCTTGAGCTGGATTTCAAGCAATAGTAATCTTGTTTATAGGATAGGATTTTTCCTTCTTGGCAGTATACCTATTCAGCACAATGACTATTGAATATATGTATATTTAAATTATATATTAACATTCCCTAAAGCTATCATGTAAAAAAGACCCAATCCATAATTGCATAACCACAAAGAACAGGGAATGTGCACACATGCAGCTCTTTCAATTAAACAAGTCCGAGCACATGCACAGGTAATTAGTTTGCTTATGAATGACTTACCTGCACAGATACTCAGCCCTGCCCAATGGCTTTTGTGTATAAATATTCACATGGATTGCCTCCCATTTCAAACCTACAGCTGTGTGCCATCTTTCATGTTGGACTCCCTAGCATCCATTTTCAGCACCCTTAATTCTTATGGCATTTTCCAGTCTTACCTCTGGCTACAGTTTCTCCAAGCCTACACGAAAGTGCTCATATAATATGTCACCCAATAAAAAGTGGTCAGATGGCTATGCGTAAAACATTAAAAAATGGAAACATATCCACCCTCCAGGTTCACCCTTACCTTGCCATATATAGCAAGATTACGTTTCCTGAGGTAAAATTTCAGCACATTTTATGAATACTTGCAGAATTCCATGACTGGCTACAGAATTCCGGTTGGGGTGGGGGAAAACGGGCCGAATGAATCAATTCAGCAGGCTGAATGTCTGAGTGTGGCTGCAATTCAATTGTGCGTGGCTGTTTATTCTTGCCTGGGCTCCGGCACATACCTGCCCGCTTTTATGCAGGATCAGGACAAACACACCGGCCACGTTGCAGGGCATAGAGTGTCGGTGCATGTATTCGGATGGAAGTAGCAAGGAATGTGGGATGTACTGCTGTCTGAGCATGCATGTGTGTACAGATGCATGTGCACGCGCGCTGTGTGACAAGGGACAGAGAGAGAGGTACACCTCTTATCTCTGATCTCTCTGTAATCTTTCCTG